CCCCCCACCTTGCCTTTTTAAACGCAACCTCGTTGGTTGCTACGTGTTTTCATCTTCGTCCTTTCAGGCTTCATCGTCAATTTGGTAGTGTTTTTGTTTGCGCAATTGCCATTGCTTTTGCATTAGTCTTGTGATTCTTGCGGGCACCATGGCTAGTAGGCTAGTAGTACTCTGTTTAGTTCTAGGGCTCAGCTTTTTTTCATGATGTGCAATGGCATGTATTGCTGTTGTCGTTACTTCGGATGATTTTACCAATGTTCCTATTCATGTTGCTCCTGCGCGGGGCTGCCTGTCTCTCCAAAGATTTCCAAAGGAACAGGATCAAAGCCACATTTTTAATTTTTGTCCTGCAAGGCCGCATTGGACACGAAGCAGTTGGAGTGCAATGGCGCCCAGAGCACTTTCGAGCGTGGCTTTTGTGACCAAGCTGTTCAGGTTCATGGGCGTTAAGATGGCTGCTCTGCCCTGACTAGAATTCGCTGGAAGCGGAGCCGCTCAGAAGCTAACGTGGCAGGCCAACAAAGCCTGGTACAAATACCTCGTCTGCTACCGCGCGGCCGGGCAAAGTCAAAGACCAGCGAACGTGGCAAGTTGGATTGCCTTGTAATCTATGTGGCCACAATGATTCAATTCACCAATTGGCACTGAGCGCAGCGGAAATTCTAAACCTGGCAGATTGAAGTTCCAGGACTTGGACCTTGAAAGAGTGGCATTAATGGCTAGAAGCCAGGATGGGAGCCCATTCTCTAAATCTAGAGACACAAGAAGTCCCAGGACTGCAAACGTCGTAATGTTGGACCACTGCTCTACTGCATGCTTTGAAAGTTGCCACAAAGCAGGGTCATATACACTGTTCTTCTTGCTCGACAGGCGAAGCAGTCTTACGAAGATGCTTCCCAGACTGCTGAGACTATAGTTCAGTCAAAGACGGGGCCCTACTCAAAGAGTCAGTCCTTTTGAAGCCTGATGCTCTTTACATAACCCCATTATAGTAGCTTCCATTCTTTTCCATTATTCCAATATAACCTTATAGAACCCTATATAACCTCATATAACCCCTACTAGTGCTCAAGAAAGTCAGATGCCCAACTCCTGGTTGACTCAGGAGAGTGGACCTTGATGCCTCGCACCGTATTGAATGCTTACTGAAGGTGAGCCGGCTTTTGTATATTGTTGCTTGCATGCGCCACTTGGGCCAGGTCTTTGCCAAAAAGCATGACCCAGAAGCAGCTCTTCGAGAGTGTAAGATTGCTGACCACAGCCAGGGCCTCACAAGGGTTAAAGCGGCTGCTCTTCGGACCCAGAGGGTGGCACAAGCGTGAAGCCGCGGATGCTCTAATCTTTCATCTGGACAGGGTAAGATAAACGCAGCAGGGATTTGATCTCTGTTCTGTGTTCCACCTGGTCACCTCTGCCTCAGGCAGTGAAACCGAGAAGCTCCAGATTCAGCTTCGCAAAGCGATTCCCCCAGCCTCCACCGTCTCAATTCATTTAGCAGCCTGCTTTGCTTGCTTTGGGTGAGTAACGCAATAAACTGTCAGCTGGAAGAGGGCCTTCTGTTGAATCGGTTTATTGAGAGAGGTACCGGAGGCTCTTGCACCGCTTGGGGCCCAGACGGTTCCAACTTAATCTTTTCGCATTCCAGATTCTGCCAAGGCCTCCCGCAACGCATGTTCCTGGAGATGCAGCCTTTGCGAAGGAGCCCCGGCCATTTTTGCTTCTTCATACCCATCCTGACCACAAGTTTCATGCTAATATTTTGCGTGACCACGTGCATAGAGCACAGAGCACCGCTGCAGGCTGTGATGCTACAGTAGGCAGCAAGGTTTCCCGCCACTGCAGGACGAATACCTTCACTTGGCTAGCAAAACTTCTGCCCCACTGACCTGCGTACTTCCATTTCAACTCGCAACTTGGCCAGATTTGATGTGTTTTTTTTTGCATTCGTGTCTCATTGCTGTGCGCAACCTGCTGCAAGGCCCCTGCCTGAGCAGGCAGGTGTAGGTGATCTACGTCAGAACGAGATATCCCAGCTCAGCTGGCAAGTCTATGCAGAATTTCGTCAATCACGCTAAATGCGTGTGCTTGGAGTTGCAACGCCAGCTGAAAAAGGACAGGTGCCGCTTCCCACATATCAGACCCACGCAGGACATTGGAATTGCAGGCGCATCAAATCGCCAATCATGAAAGCCATTATTGATGTCTCCCTTGCTTTGTACCATCCTGAAACTTCCTGAGCCTGACCAGGCTGCAGCGGCTTAGCTGAGGCTGCCATGTTCATGCAATGATCAAACGTGCTTGAGCAGCTGCTCAAACGTTTTCAAACCATGCTCCAGCGTACTAGCCAATTGCATGCAATTGCCGACCGATTCTAAGGGGTTGCTAGAACTTGCAGCCTTTGAACCTACCGCATAGAGCAGATGCGCAGTTGCTCTTATGGGTCGTGAGCCAATGTGCCAACCCAGTCAATCTTCTGTTGATGGATGCAAGCTGCCTACTTCTGGGCGTGTGTGCTTGCAACCTGCCATTTACATAGTGCTCATGCAGAACGCTCCTGGTGATGCGCATCTCCGGAGATTTTCGAGATCATTGTGTGCTATGAAAGTTGGTTTGTCATGAGCTTATACGGTGCAGAAGGTGGAACACGTTTCGATTCCACAGAATGCGGGCTTTAGTTTAGGGATGGCACAATCATACGCGAATGCGGGTCGTGCCTGTGGTAGTAGGATTTAGGTGCTGTCACCTGCCACTGTCGGTCATGCGGAGCAGCTTAGAAAAGCCGTGAGCTACCAGTTACCAGTTGGCTGGTTCAGGTGCATGGGAAGTCATTGCCAACCGGGCTATGACCTAAGACATTCCCACACCCTCGTAGTAGGCCTTTGGGGGAGTGACTCTCTTCGAGCACATTATGTTTAGCTGCGTGGTCTTATCTTTCCGTGTGAGAAGCGAGTGGAGACAACGGGGCCATATCAAACATTATAATGTTCAGGTTCGCAAGGAAAGCATTCTCAGTAAGCGAACCTTTGTCGGAAACATAGCGCGCAGTCTTTGTGGCCGGTATGTTGATGTGTGTTGTGCCGGTACCCTGGGGCCCGGTTTTCCTTCAGAACAGTAGAACCGTGCCCGAAAATCACCTTCTGTGGGGGGTACCCACTCTGCTCGTTCTGCTGGCCTTTACACGGCCAGCCCAAACACCTTGTCTGAAGCTTTTTTCGGGGTCCTTGTTTACCTTAGCTATCGGTGGAGCTGCACAGGATCTAGGGATGTCTAGAGTTCAGGGTTTCGGAACCAGGTTTTGTTGGGTTTATGAGGCACGCGGCCGAAGTATACGTTTTCTGGGGAAAAACGTGCAGTTCGGTCCCCTAAGGCATGCGGCCAAGTTGTACGTTTTTCTCCGAAAATGTACAACTCAGCCTGTAGGAAAACCGGGCCACGGGGTACCGGCCCTGCTTAGGGGAGCGGCAAAGCTCTCACCCCTGGAGGGTTTAGGGCATAGCCAGTAGAAGAAGAACAGGGATGGTTAGTATCAACAGTATGTAGTTGCATGTGTTTGCAGTGCCGTGCCTACGCAACTGTGGTTCCCCCAAAGTCCTTCAAACCCTAGGCACGCCCATTTTTCATGGGTTCAACTAGTACCCCTCTCTATACTACCCCGGTTCCCCCTTTAGTTGGGGTGCCCAGGGGTCACCATGAATACCAAGCAGGGACTCCACCCCCAAAGGTTCATCCACTTTGAGAAGGGCTCTCCCTGTTTCTCCAGTGCCCCAACCTCCCCCCCCTCGAGGTAGTGGGAACCCTGAGACTAACTGGCAGGAGCAGCTCAACCTCTTGGCCAATGTGCTTGACGAGCAGCTCCTGGAACAACGACCTGAGGAGGCAAGTTGAACTTTGAAGAGTGACCATCTCTGACTGCAGCTCTTGGCAGGTGCTTTGCATCCGCTTTGGGGCCGAAATAACACGGCGGCATTTGTCCGGCTCCCAGCCACCGAGAAGTCGCCGAGAAGCCTGAGCATGTGAAGAGTTGTTGCCAGCAGATGTCAGTGCAGGATAATGCTGTGTCTCTGCCCGCTTGGCTCGTAGCATCCTGTAGCTGCAGCGGTTGAATGATTTCAAAGCAAAGTTTTCAATCCTGAAGAGCTTTCCCCGCGTGCTGGACAGGCTAGGTGGCAAGATTACAAATGCAGAAGACTGAAGATCCTTGAACATTTTCATCACACCGCTGGCCTTTGACCCGTCAATCCCGAGTGTGGTTCTCAGCCTTGGCTCACATTTTTGTCATGCTGCAGTGGCAAAAATCCTGCAGCAAAAAGGTTTGGGGACAGCTGCCTGTCAGATTGGTGGAAGGAGAAGGAAGAGGAGCTGGTGATGCTGGTGCTTGTGTTGCTGGTGATGTGTTTGCAGATGTTTGCAGGCTAGTGCTGATGCGCATTTACATGCAGATTTTGTCATGAGCGCGCCAATCGGGTCTTGCACGCAGTGCAAATTGAGACCCCAGATTGCCCTGCATGTCTTGGTATGTGAGCAATCGTGCCGGATGCATCGGATGCATGTGTTACACGGCTCAAGCTCTTTCACCGGTGTCACTGGTGCCAGGGTGCCGCGGCACAGTTTTCGCGCTAAGCATGATGTGCCTTGGTGGGCTTCAGCCTGCAATGGGGCCACCCTGCGCGCCAGCAAGTTATGTCCGCACCTCTTTGCCTCTCGGAGCCTTTACTGGCGCTGTGAGCAGACCACAGCTGCACAGAAGGGCGAAAACTGGTATGCGACGCAGAGTGTGGGAGGACGCTGCAGCTTTCTGCAGTGATCCGCTGGTTTCCTGTGTTGGGACTGCTGCCCTCGTATCTGGCATGACCATCCTCAGAGTAGCCATGATGGACGATGACAAAGACACGCCCAAAGAATTCCTGAAGCAACGGAGAAGGCTGCGGAAAGGCACTGCCCCGATTGTTTGCCTCGGGGACAGCATAACTCGAGGCAATCTTTCCTCGGATTGGGTGAGTTCTTTGAGGGAGGAGCTTAAGCAGGGTTTGGTGCTGAATGCAGGCATCAACATGCACCTGGTCCAAAACCATCAGATGGTTTGAGAAGTTGTCATGTTTTTCGTGCCTTGTTCCGCGCAAGGCACGTCACTGACAGATCTGACAGCTGAGGCAATGCTCTTCAAACATCCAGCAACGCATCGGTGAGGTCATTAAGTGCCAGCCGTCTCACGTCACCGTGCTCGTGGGGACAAACGACCTCAAAGCTGCTCTTTCTCCCGTGGAGGGCTTCATGTACCGAGTCTTTGGGCAGCTGCCCGAAGTCCCATCACTGGAGTCTTACGAAAGAACTCTTCGAGACATCAAAACCCGCTTGATTGACGCAGGGGCCAATGTTGCACTCGTCTCACCGCCAGTGCTTGGAGAGGACCGCTTCCTTGCATTGGGTCGCATGCCAAGTGTAGAGTGTAGATGTGCCTTCACTGCAAGAGTGCTGAGATTTAACTTGTCTGAAAGGACATTCACTCAGAGGCCAATAAGAGGGCGGCGGAGTTTGCGTCAGTTGTGCGCAAAGTGGCACAGTCTGGAGGTGCTTGCACATACTTGCCTTTGTTTGAAATGACTTTTGCCTCGCTTCCTGTGGGTGGCCGGCCGTACTGTGGGATGAACTTCTTTGCGTGGTGCTGCTTGCTATGCTGGGACATGCACATCCTGCAGCGGGACCCCGAAGAGATCCAGCGTGAGCGGAACTTGGGAGTCACGTTGGACCTGGTCCACCTTGGCCCTCAAGCAGCAAAGCGACTCGCGGACATGGTTCATGACTTCATTCGCACAGAACCACCGACAATTTCGGCTCCGCAAGTCCTCTCTGGCTTGCGTGCCCTTCCTATGGAACCCTGAGGTGACATGCACTGTAAACTTGAAGATCAAAGCAGAACTCGTAGCTACAAGGCTATAGGCATGCTATACTCATATAGTCCACACCTTGCTTAGTAAGACAGCTGGCCCTGTGATGGACCAACTCAGCTGCATGCCGGACTTTGGGTTAAGCGAATGCGTGATGGGATCGGAAACAGAAGAACTGGTAACCTGACTATTTAACGCATCTTTTCAGAGTAATCCTACTGCGCATAGCCCTCGCCACACGCACGGCCTTTTTTAGCATTCAAGATGCGTATTGGCTGTACGGGCCTTGCCCTGTGTGTACGATATGGAGGTGGAGGCCAGTTTATTCGCCACTTCAACTGTAGATATACGGCATGTAGTTATTCAGCCCCTGTTGTCTTTGACATCGCGAGATGCTGATTTCAACGCCCGCCGCCTCCATGACATCAAGCAAACGAATTGAACCGATTGAAGATTTGAATCTTCGTGCAGGATTTTCGCGCTGGGGCTCTCCTACCTTGAGGGAGAAACTTTTCCATACCCCTCAGAGATCCAGCCACCTTCTTGGTAGAATTGACACTCCGCAGACAAGAAGCAGATCCGCCCTTCAAATGCTCCTTCAAATGCTGGCATGCTCCAACGTATAGGCAGCGGTGCGCGAAATTGTCGTGGAGTACCAAGTCTGCCCTTCGATCATACCAGACCCATGCAATCTCCGAGCCATGGACAAAGACACTCACTTGCGCTTGACGTTGCGGCTAGCTTGCTTTGCTCAGGGTGTTATGACATGACTCGGATGAAGGAAGGACTGTCCCAAAGGTTTGATTCAGTTGTCTCTGCGCAAGCTGCGGCGTGAAAGCAGGACGCCTCCGTGCTGATCAGAGGTATGGCAGCCTGTGACGCGTGCTCTTTGACAGCGCGCTGCATTCGCAGTGAAGCGCTTGCTTGCGTGCTTGCCTGCATGCATGCGTGCGTGACGCAGGGAATTCGAATAGGTTATCCCTTATGTACATGGATTGCCCACCATTATAGGTGGCTGCAGCTTTGCTGCATAGATTCCAAAGCAAAAGCAAAAACATGCTTTCGCATCGGCACGATTGTACCCTGCTTCGGCTGATCGTGACCTCCTCGCAGCTTCCTGTTGATTATCCACCAAGGTCATGCCTGCTGCCAGACCAATGGGTCAACGATGAGGTGCGAATTTGTGGGGGCATGTCCTGCCTTGGATCTTCGTGTGTCTAATACTAAAAAAGATGGCCTCGCCGCAGCCTGGGTGCTGACTAAATGTCCAACAACGTAATCAGACGCAACCTGCACAAATCAAATGACCACCACAACCACTGTTGACGGAACAATGTCCTGAGTGGACAGGCGTTGGCCCCCAAGGTTTGGGAAGCAATTCGGCTCCTGAGCCCATGAGAGTGCCGAAAAGCCGAACCACTTAGGGAGTGGACATGACTTTCACATCTTCGTAGCTCTGCTTGGGGCAGGATGCGTGTGAAACAGAAGACATGCTGTGTTGTTATGGTAGAGATTTTCAGAGATCATGGGAAGGACAAAGAAAGAGCAACATCCGGCAAATGGGAGCTGAGCGCCAAGAGTAAAGTGTGCATGCTCAGCCACGTCTTCTGCAACTCCTGCCATGGCGCGTGGCAACTGCGGCCAGGCCGGACTGCGGCAAAAGGACCTTTGTCAAAAGACTTGCATGCTCTTCCAAGCTGCGTCATGAGAAATGCTTGACATCTGAAGCTTGCAAAAAAGCGAGACAAGACCAGCGCTTCGTGCAATGAAATATCAACAGCAGGTGGCCAAAAGCATCAGGTCCAATCTAGGCTTTGCGATGGGTAAGTACTCGTAGCTGTGCTACAGAGATTCTGTGATCTGCCAATGTTGAAATCTGTCACGGCCACAGAGCCTAAGACCCCCTGCACTTTGCCAGCATATCTCCTTGGCAGCTTCGTCGCGGATGTCAAAAGCCTTTTGACTGACTGAATACACTGCCAGTAATTGATATCGTTAGTGGCGCGGAACATTTTGCTGTGGCTGCTCTTGTTGAGAGATGGCGTTGAGGACATCTCAAGGAGAAGCCGCCATCCACCTCCAAAAGGATGAACACAAAGTGGGCTGCTTAAGTTGGAGCGCTCCGCGCTCGGGTGCTGCTTTTTTTGGCTTAAACCCAGCATGTTCTTGTCTGACCGTCTTAGCGGGTGTTTCGGATCAACAGCTGCTGATCGTGGTGAATAGTGACCGTGAAATGGCCGATGCCGCGCTGGGGCTCCTATTCATCATATTCACGGCCTTCATTGCCCGTGCCGAGCTAGCGGGCGCGGATATCTATCAAAAGTTTGTAGACACTTGGCTATTTTCAGGTCGGGCTCAGCAGAATGTTCTAGCAGCTGGCAGCATTTCCCAAGCATGTTTGGTTGTTGTTTTGTGGGCAGCTGCCAAGGAGATAAGCCAGGCTCTGGAATTCAATCACACGGAAGCCTCGCTGGAGAGCATACGAGACTGGCTACAGGAGGACATTGCTGACTGGGCTCCACCGGGAGAGCTGGCGCTGCGGAGGCACGTTGTCAAGCTGATTTATAGCGAAGACGAGGATGAGCAGGCTACAGCTCTCCGAGTCTATGGCAATGTGTGTGAGATGCAGATGATGCTGGGATCACATCATTTTGCAGACGCGGCTGCAGACATGGACGCCGACCCAGGGACCAGGCCGGTACTGAATCACATTAGATATGGTACTGAAGAGCAAAATGCTTACGAGCTGGCCGACGCTGTGAATCAGCACCTCCACTCGTCAGAGCAGCTGTCGTTATTTGGCAGCCGAATGCAAGCTGCAAAGCACAGTATGCAACGCCGAGCTAGAGCAGAGTTGTAAGCATGTGGGAGACTGGAAACGCATGGTGTCAAGGGCAATGTACATGCACTCCACGCTGACCTAGCAGCCCAAAGTTCGGTTCATGAAGCTGAAGCACACCACCACCTGCAAGAGTTGAGGAGAAGGTGAAGCAACAACTGCCCCTCGTGCGCCTGCAAATGCCGCCGCGATCAAAATTGGCTCACAACTGCTTGGGCTTCATGGCCGGGCATTGGCTGTTGCATGGCAAGCCTAATTTGCATGACGGCTCAAGAGACATGCATGCTAGCACAACGCCAACATGTGCCCCGCATGGAACGTAGAATGCCTAGCCAATGCCAAAGACAAGAATGTCTCCGTGATGTGCATGGCATGGTGGGTTTTGGATAGGCAGGCATACCACTACATGGCAAGGTGGAATTGTAGACCTTTGTCACTGCCGTGCCAAAGAGTGCATAGCAGAGCTGGACAGCAAATGCTGCTTCGTGGCTTGGAAACTCCCAGCAGCCATGCTGAAGGCGAGGTGCTTGAGAGCAGGAGTCACACGCACCACATTTTTTGCACCCTCTGGGGGGCTTGATGGCTCAGTGCATCAGATATCAGTACCCCGTACGTGACAACAGGCTAAGTGGAACAGGTGACCTGCACTTCTTCAGACAGGCGCCTTCAGTGCTAGTCCAACGGCGAGCATCGGCCGCTTCATGGGCCCAGAACCCTGAACGCATTCAAGACAGCATGCAGCTTTCAGCATGATCAACATCAAAGCTCCAGATGAATTGGCAGATGGCTTCACAGCAAATTCTGAGCCCAAGCCCAGCCAAGGCATTTCACGATCCTTTGAGTCAGGACCTTTTGAGCTTGCCGGGGTGCAGGCAATGCAAGTTCACTTCATTTCGTGGTGCGGCATCGCAGGATGGGGATCCTGGACACACTCTTTTGGCAACTTTGCCTGGCGTTTGACAGTCTCGACATGGAAGCCTCGTGCACAATCGATTGCTTTCGCCCAGTCCTTTTTGTGGGCAAGCCAAGGATCCCATGTGCTCACCACAGCCATCCCCAGCCAATGCCACAGCTGGAGAGAGAAAAGCACTCATCAAGGAGCATTGGGCTCAGGTCCCAAGCCCATGGCAAACACCCATCGGCTCGGAAGACGTCAAGACGACGTTGGCCTCTAGCTTCCTCGAGAAGGAGCCAGAGTCCAGCCATGCGAAGCCGCCCCAGGTTGGCACCTTTTGGCAGAACAAAAGATTATTTCTTTTGTGTGCTGTCGTTTTTGCGGAAGGCCACCTTATTCAGCTCTTGGTGCTCCTTGGACTTCAAGTGCACCGTAATTTCAGAGCTCATCAAACACCGCGGGCTCCGGATGTTGAGGTGTACTGGCAAACACCTTGCTGGGGGTTGGCATCCTGGGTCTTCCTTGGGCCATTGCAGCTGTCGGTTTAGCACTAGGCATGCCCAGAGCAGCTGGATCAGTGAAACGTGACTCCAAGAAGCCTGGTGGGATCGCTGGAGCTTCACACAGGCATCTTCATGCTCCTTGGTGCTGGAGCCTGCGCAGCTCTGGCACTTCACCTCTTGTCTTCGCTCGCTATGGACCTCGTGGATGGGCGCAAAGATGCAATTGAGGCTCAGCTCATCTTGAGTAAACGCAGTGCCAGTGACAGTGTCTACTGTGGAAGGGGGGCCTGAGCCCCTGAGCCAAGCGCTTCTGCACGATGCTAAATCCGTGGTCAGTTTGCACCAGAGCATGCCCAGCACATCCCAGGACATCACCTTCTATTCTGCTTCTTTATGCAAAGAGAGCGTTGGGAGGGTGATTTGGCTACGATTGCATCGCAAATCGTAAAGCAGTTGTGTTCAGGTTTGCATAGCCGTGGCCGGGCCCTCAATCCAACAATTTTGGATAGATGCGGAGACTGGTGCAGACTTTGCAAATTCCATTTGCTCATTGATTTTTGCATGCTTTCCGAGGCCCCTTGTGCAAGACACTGGGTGGATGTGACCATTGCTGCTCAGCCCATTTGCATCCGTTGACCCCAGACCGCGCGCATTGGCCTAAACCAATCTACTACAGTCACCAGCTGCCAGGCCATCAAATGTTTTGGTGTTGCGACAAGCCACCAAGCCTGCACAGAAGGTTTGCGACTGTCGCATGTCATTTGTGCCCACATGTATATGCCCGTGAGGCAAGCGATTCTGAGGCTATTTGCAGGTCATCGGTCAACTTGGGCCGTCTGTGGTGGGAGACATGATGCAGCTGCTGGGCTGGGATGTGCGCTCCAAGTCGCCTGGCGGATTCGAACTGGATTCTGGATGTCCTGCTTGCAAGTGAACGGATTGACACCTGCACAAAGGGGACTCTCAATCATATGAGAGACTTGGAGATACTCAGGTCAGAGGATTTGCGTTTGGCCTTGATTGGCTGTGCGGCTCAGCAGAGCACAGCATGTGGGATTTCAAGCAGGGTGCTGTTTGATACTGATTTAATGATGGGCTTGTGGTGGGTAGGAATACTGGTGGGTGTACAATGTGTGTAGATACATTGGTAGTCCAATTGGAAGCCTCCAGAAGCCGGAGGTTGTCGTTTTCATCATTGGCCCGGTCGTCTTCCACAAGACCATTACCAAGACTGCCCTGAAGAACATGGTGGCAATATGTCCCAACCTCAAAAAGCAGAGCTGGCGCAACGAACGCAGGGCTGTTGTTGTCTGAGTTTCTTGGCTCTATGTCTCGGCGCTCATGGCGGGGTACGCTGCATTGTTTCGCTGCTCACATCCCACTTGGCAGGCCGAAGAACATAGGCCGAAGGAACATAGCTAAGCAGCACTTTAACCAATCCCGCTTCATGGAGGTCTCACCTCCGGCAGATCTCACCTTTGTGCAGTCCCTGGCCAAGTTGTCAGTGTCCTTAGGGAAGCCTATTTTGCACTCATCGCAACATTGACACAACATATTTAACTGTATACTTTGATCCAGAACTGTATAATTTGATTCAGGGACTCACAGGCGCTCCGGCTCCGCTCTCGTGGTTTTCAAGTTTGGGTAGGTGGCAGGACTGTGTCGGAAAACCAGAAGACATTTGTGTGGATGTGTTCATGTTCGGAACAGATACTATCCCTCGCAGGCCAGTCTTCAGCCTCAGCCCTGCGCAGGCGTAGGCACTGTGTAAAGAATATCGGCCTGCAGCAATGTTAAACTATTCGCATGAGATAACCGTTTCAAGGTCCGACCATTTTGAGCTTCAACGTGCTAAGCTGGGGCTGGCTAAGTTTTCCATTTCCTGACAGTGCTCTTATTGCAAAACCTGTTCAGTTGTCCACCCAGAGGGATTCATGACGATCCAAAGGTTTGCCTCAGTGCTGCCGGTCTTTATCTTCAGCTTCACTTGCCACCAGTCACCTGCAAAGGCTGATGGCAGCTTTTGGTGTTCATATTGCATGCTGTTTTTGGTTTACAGTTCTTTTGCTGGTTCAGAGCACAGCTTTTGGGAATGGGACTCGTAATCCGAGGAATTTGTTCCCAATCGCCTCGGAACTCAAAGACCGGTCCCTTGAGCGATTGGACAGAGCTGCTGGGACTTTGTATCTAGTCATGTTTTTTTTGGCCGGCTCATCATGCAGTGGATCAACTTTGTGGAAGGGATGTGACGACACGGGAGGAGGCCGAGGGTAGCGTGGCAAGAGGGTGGCAGAAAAAACAATAAGGTTGCAAATATGCACCCCCAAGAATCTTCGGTTGGCCAGACTTTGGCCGGTTGCTTTTGGTGTTGGGATGTCCGGGGTCTCACGAAAATGAGCTGTTGAGCTGTACGCGGGCCTTGAGGTAAAGGGCTTCTTTGCTTTCATGAGTCGATTGTAAGTAATGCCTCTTCCATTGAATTCTGATGTGTTTGCTATCTGCTGATGGTAGTGTTGGTGCTCAGGGCGTTAGGGTTGCTGGCATTGCCATGCAGTGCTTGTGAATAAACAATGTACAGGCTCTTGTTAGACACAAGGGTCTTGGGGTCTGTTGGCTTGGCTCGATGGGTTTCGCTTGGCTTCAGTAGGAGCGTGTCCATTTAACTTTTGACCTAGTGGTGCCTTCATCTTATCAAACTCCTAGCAAGTATGACGCAGCCTCTGCCATGCTTCACACAAACAAGGATGCTTAGGTGTACCGCCCAACTCTTACCCAGGTTCTGATTTGTGCTATAAGCACCGGCCTGGTGATATTTGCCGCTGCCGGTTTTAGTGGCTACTTGACGCTGCTCTCCTGCAAATTGCCCGAAGCCACAGAGGCTAAAGAGATCAGAGTCGCACGTGCCGGATGTGTTCTGCAAGCACAGGTTTGGTCAGGAAGTGCACGCAAATTTTTTGGAAGATTTGCCGCCGAATGGGCTCATACTGTCATCGGCTTAGACTTTGACGATTCCGTGATCATGTATGAAGTCAGCATTGGAATTTTGATCTAAAGTCAGACCTGTGTTGTCATTGCCCGTCCAGGCTTGGAAAATGTTTGGTGCTACTAGCTGCCTCCCAGCTGCTTTACGGACTTTCAATGGCTTTTGTCACTCACCTCCGAAATACTTTGCCATCCTCGCTAAGGTTATCTTTACATACCCGTTGCAGCTGCATCCATGCCGACGTTCACTTATGATTTTGGTGCAATCTATTCAAGGCAGGCGCCACTGCACGACTGTGTCTGGGCCAGACTTGCAAGCATGCAAATTTCTGCTGTGTTGTGTGATATTGGATTCGCAGCGAGCAGGCAGAGTTCTAAGTCGAAGTGCTGACAGAATCTGCCGCCGAATTTTTACAGTGCCACTGGACTTCTGGGATGTTCATTTGCCCCGTATGTATTTTCGCAAGCAGCTGCTTGTGGGCGACCCTGTGGCCCAAGCTTCAGACATCTAAGGTTAATACTGGCCGCTGGACTGCACAGTGGTCACTTGCGGCCCCATGTGGCACTCAATGAAACAGTCAAAAGCTGCAGGGGTAGGTCAAATTCTGCAGTCAAGGGAGGAGGTCTCCCGTGTGCAACAACTAGCCGCCACTGTGCCGAGAGTAGGTTGGAACGGTAATTCTGGCTGTGGTGGTGCATGATTTGGGCATCTCATCTGCAATTGGGGACTGGCTGTTGGCTGCTTTATGCTACGTGTAGCTGACGCCAGCAAGGCACCACTTTGGCATTCGTGGGCACCATTGGAAGCAACACGGTCGTGCTGATCATGCCGGGCTTTCTATACATGCGAGGGGCTCGATGCAGCACGGTCCGGAAGAGCGGTGCTCAGCGGGTAAGAGCTTGCACTCTTTGCAATCGCAGTGCAAGCACTCCATTTTGGTTGCAAGACTGTTTTAACATGGTTTGGGCTTCCCTCTCCTCGTCCTCTGACATCCGGCTGGTTGCTTGCTGCCTTTTGACTTTTACTATCAGCTTTCTGTCTTCTGGAACGTTGCTTTCTGCTGTGTCATTTCTGTTCGTGTCCGTTGCTTTGTAACGTCGGTCAGAAGTCCTGCAAATCATGCGCTTAATCTGTAAGACGAGATGGTTCCCCCCAAACAACGGGATCATGTGTTTTGGATTATCGTTTTTGATGTTTTTTTTTTGGTGTTTTAATGACAACATATAGCAAAACGAGATTCGAGGCGCAACTGACGTGTTGCAAACCGAGTAGACTTCGGCAGTTGGTGCACCAGGCATTCGAACATGCATGGCAAATATGGCAATCAAGCACCCTCATCAGTCATGACAACAGGTTAGTTGTTCCAAAATCAACAAGTGAAACAAGGGTTCAGAACGGAGGTCCTATTGTTTTGAAATTTTTCTTTTTTTTCTAGACTTTTTTTGTGTGTGGCTCTGGCGTGGAGTGTCTTCGCATTTCGGCCTTTCTGGCTTGCTGGCTTCCTGGCTTCTTGGCTTTTTGGCTTCCAGGCTTTCCGGCTTCTTGGCTTCCTGGCTTCTCGGCTTTTTGGCTTCCTGGCTTCTTGGCTTGCTGGTCTAGTAGCGATTATTGTCAGTCTATTCTTAACTTCCTTCTATTATTCGTATTGTACGCTAATTATTATCATTATTCTTGTTCTTATCCTTTTTTCTTCTTTTCATTTTAACTTTTACTACTATTATTACACTGGTACTATTTCTCTTGCTAAAAGTATTATGACTATTATTCTTATTGAGACCCTTGTTGTGATTACTCCTCCTGTAGGTAGTTGTCATTGTTATTAGTAGTATTACTATTACCCCTCATATCATTACTAGCATTCTAAGTGACGTTGGTATTTTGACAGTTATGTAAGTGATCTTGTTTGCAAATAGGCCCCCCAACCGGCCATGCTTCACGTTCTCATCATTTTTATTTTTTGATAACATCGCATCATTTTCAACATCAGTTTTCATATTTGTTTAGCGTTTTCATTGTTTTCCATCATTTTCATCCTCTTCCTGCTTCATAATTTTCATTGTTCATCCTCTGTTCATGATTTTTCATGATTTTCATGTTTTTTCATGATTTTCATGATTTTTCATGATTTTCTATCATTTTCTATCATTTTCTATCATTGTTCAGCATTTCTCATCATGTTTCATCACTTTCGTCATTTTCATGGTTTTGTCATATTTCTATCAGTTTCCTATCCTTGTCCTAGCATTTCATTATTTTTCAGTAGTTTTCATAATTTGTCATCACTTTCAAATTATTCTCATGATTTCTCATAATTTTCATTAGTTTTCTATTCATCATTTTCATCAGTTTCCGTCATTTCTTCACCGTTTTCTATCATTTTCCTACTTCAATATGTTCGGTCATTTCCAGCATTTTCTATATCATTGTTCTACGACTTTTCTATCATTTTATATAATTGTCTATCATGTTCATCAAGTTTTATCATGTTTCATCATTTTCACAATTTCTGATGATTTTTCATCAGTCTTCACAATTTTCCCTTCAGAATCGCGCTCTTGGGTGAGGCGTCCTTCGATTCCGGGCACCCAGCCAAAAAAAAAAAGTACCAAAAAAGAATCCACCCGTTCAGAACGAGTTCAAGGAGAGGGAACCCGTGCTTGTTTGTTTGTTTGTTTGTTTGTTTGCTGTTTGGTCTTTTGTGCAGGCCAGTAAGTGAGTGAACTCTTGTCCCCCGCCCGAGCAGCAAAAACTCAGCATGCCCGCCGCCCAAACAGCAAACAACAAAAAAAAAGCGCACCCGCCCAAACAGCAAAAAGAAAAACACGCCCCCCGGCCCAAACAGCAAAAACAAATACGACCCCCCGACCCCCTGCGCAAACATGCAGAAAAAAAACGGCAAACAGCAAAAAAAACGACCACCCCCACCCCCACACCCCCACCCCCCCACCACCACCACC